TGATAACTTGCATTCTTTCTTTTGCTCTTGCTTCATGCTTTATAATGATGTAATTGTTCTATGTGCCCTGAAAGAAAGGTGATTAGTGTGCTCAGCATCTGGAGGTTGACCACTTAGCATCTTCTGACATAAGAAAGTTATCAACAGTTTCTGAGTTTTCTGTATTTTTTTCTACAGTTGCTACAAACACTAGACATGTAATGCCTCTCTAAAAATTACATTTATTAATTAAATTGCAAATGAAAACTTTGATGAAAAATTGAACATGAGTAATTTTAAAATTGAGGAATAATGAAGTTATTTTTCTCTTTTGCAAAGGAAAAGTAACTTGGAAGAACTTTACAAATTCCTACTCTCTTTTTCAGTAATTGTGACCATACAACCTTAGACATAAATTGGTATTTTAAGTGCATGATTTTTTTCTACTACACATTTTGGAGAACAAATACTGTTCACGTGCAAGGCCCTAAAGTAATGGAACATCTACCATGTGTTCTGCTAAGTTTTTCAAATGGTTAATCAGTAGTAATGCTAAAGTTTGTGCCTTATGTTTATTTAGAATTTGTCTTCTAAATGTGAAAGCATTTCATCTCATCATCTTTTGCTAGCTTTAGTGACCATCTAAAAACTTTGCTTCCATGCAGAGTTTTATAAATCACTGTCAAATATACCATGAACCTTTTTAAAACAGATGAATACATGGAGTCTTGCTGTGAGACAGGCTTTTGTGACTTGGAAGTGCTCTTTGGAGATTTCCTGATCTCTTTGCAATACCGCTATTTGAGCTGCTGACACCAGAAATGTATTTCAGTAATTATTTTTCTAATGCAATATACAGTGGTAAGAACAATTTCCTGTGTCTACTCAACATTCTTATGTTTATGTTTGTATTTGCAGTGCCGTGTCAGGAAAAGTTCACGTTCAAATGATTATCTTTAATGACTCCGGAGTTATTTTAATTACTAACATTTTTTATTCTTGCATTTGTCTGCCTTGAAATGAACTTTCAAATGTACCCACCATATCTAGCAAATTATCTTTACTGTTCCCTTTTTATAGTTCTTAACTCCACCAACTTGTGATGCTCTGCGTTTCATCCTAAATGTGGAAAAAATTCGACCAAAACTAAATCCTGAATATCTCAGAGACACTCACATTATGATTCTACCCTTAAGATTCTTTCTTGAGTTTTCTAGTTTTCTAGTTTTAGCCTATTTCATATGGCCAACACTGAATATGTCTGATTTTAATTCAGTAAGATGATGTATTGTTTTACTTTTTATGCTGTGATTTCTTGTATTGTTATTGAGTCAGTATAAAAGGTCACTGTGCACTAGCCTCCCTGGTGAAATGTGGTAGTATCTTGCAGTTTGATATCTAGGTTTTCTTTCCAACTGCCCTGTTTTTCATATGCATGGCTTTAAACTTATTTTTATAGTTATTCATTTCCAGACAACGAGATTAAAGATTTCTTTCATTGTTCTATGATATGGCTAAATTCAAAAGAATCTGTGAAGATTACTGCTAGCTTTTACAGATTATAAAACATAAAGCTAGTAATTTGCATGCTAAACACAATTAGTTCATTTATTTATTTTGACACTGTAAATGATATCTATCCAGTCATTAGGCATCTTGCAATCCATTAAAAATACAATCTGTACCAACAAAAACAAAGCATCAACTTATCACATCCCACAAAAAAAAAAAAGTCAGTCAACCAGAAATGTAAAAAATACACTCTCCGCCCTTCCAGTCCCTAGAGGAAACCCCAATGCCCCAGCCATCTCACCTCTGTCCAAATGTCAAGTAAACAAAATATCACGTGCCAGGGTTGCTAGACCAAATCACCACCAACATAAATTCTTCAGACGGACATTCTGAGCTAAGAGAGAGGGATGAATGTTGGTGAATGATGGAATATTTGGGCTCAGGCTCTTGCAGCAAGAGCCTTTTGACAAGTGTGTGCAGAGATTCCTCCAATCTATTCTCCCATTCAGTCAGTAAACCAAAGATTTTTAAAACTCGTGAGTTTGAGTCATGGTGCTCAGTGTTTGTTCTAGATGGTATTTCGTAGATGAAGAGATCTGTGGTCTGGATGGGTTGTATGGTTGCTCTAATATTCATTTGGGAAGTAATGCAAACTGTTCCCACTTCAGGTCAAATTTTAATTTCAGTCTGGACTTTTGCCCTGTAACTAGCTGTGGGAGCAGTAATACCAATGCAACAACTAGAAGGTCAGATGAGAGAATATAGTTGACTGCTAATTTGATAGCATACAACAGCATAACCAAGAGCCAAGTCAGGGCCAGAGTTGGCCAAGCATGGCTAGTTTTCTCTCCAGCTAATATAACTTCTTTTTCCCTTCCTGTTGAATGTCTAATTTTGATTTTATTAACCACACCAATTCTCATTGTTTTTCACATTGTAAATGGCCTGAGCAAGACAGAGTCCCAGCTTGATTATACTCCAAGAGGATGCCTAATGTTAACGAATTGTTGCACTGATATTTTTCTCACAGTGCAAATATCAGCTTTTACTTTGTGAGCTGATGCAATGTAAATAGCTCCCAAAACTGCTGATCTGTTTGCATCGGCCGGGCCTGTCAGAATTTAATGGCACATCACTGTAAGGAGCAACCTTAGAGAAAGACAGAGATGCATAATATAGATCCATTGTATGCATTCAGGATGAGGCAAAAAGATTTCAGTAAGATACCAGTGATATATCTGTTTATACCTATTGCATAAAATTTCATTAATGAAGTCAGTGAAGTATTTCCCCCCAGTGAAGGGAAACAAGGCATTTTAAAAGGAAAACTTCAGGCTGATTAGGTTTTCCTGAGGCAGCAGAAACTCCACAGGTATCCTCTGTTGTAAAAATTTTGCATTCAAATGGAAATGCATCTCCAAGACCATTGTGGAAGATGAAGACTGAGACTAAGCAAGCAGTCAAATCACAGACAAAAGCTAGTTGAAGATTGGAAGGGACCTATGGAGGTCATCTGATCTAGCATGCTCAAGCATGGCCACCTAGAGCCTCTTGCACAGAAACGTGTCCAGAAGGCTTCTGAGTATTTCTGAGGAGGGAGAAATCTGTCTGATAGCAAAGAAAAGAGGAGTGATGCCTTAGTTCTCCTGAGTGACTATTGCTCATGCAGCCACTACAAAGATGCCTTTCACAGCCACCCATTGCTTTCTCTGCAAGCAAAATGCACCACAGACAAGTAGAGGAACTGCAGTCTTCAATACATGGCAGTAAGACCATGAGCTTCATTTTGTCTCCGCTGGGTTTCACCTATTAGTAACACTGGAAGCAGTGAACATGGAAAATTAAAATCTCTTCTTATTTTTAAGTTTAGGAGAGGCTAGAAACAGCAGGGTTGGCTAGATCCCAAGGGCCCAGTCTTTAAACAATAAGTAAGCATGACGAATAGAAAGTTTTTTCATTTAGAAAACATTAATGTGATTCTTACGAAATTTATGGTTAGGTAATATCTGTGTTCAAATAGCACCAATTATGTGTGATATGCTGTATGAAGGGAGGATCCAGAATTTAAGCCCAATCATAGAAGCAATAGATGAACTGCATAACATATTTATGTATCCTTATAGTCTAGACTTCTTATCTTACTGCTTTCCCACTTCCCCCACCATTTTGCCAGCCTTTCCTCTAGCCAATAAAGACGTGGGAACAGATTTCTGACATAGTTAATTATCTCTAACTGTGCCACTCTTGTTATCTTAATAGCTTTAACTCACCGTAAATTGCTGATACCGATTTTTGCAAGAACTCCAGACTCTCTGCATTTGTGTAATGTGTAGGTATTTATTTATATATCAGAATATGTTAGATATGCTGCTGTGGTAGACTGGATCAGTTATTTCATGTTTGCTAGGATTTTACACCTCATTGAGTTATAATTCCTGCCCTCTTCTGCCTGATCCAGCCCAATGTGTTGTGAGATATTCTCAGTCATGACCCAACAAAAATCTGGGTTAATGAGAGTCAGGGAGTGATAAAGGGAGTAACATTGCTCAGATGACATTGGACTTCAGCAAAGGCCAGTACATGGTATGCTGGAATAAAAATTAGTTTAGGTATCAATAAATAAAACATAGAAATCTGAGTTGGCTGAAAAAATGACACAATTTATCTTGTGATATTTCCATTTCTGACATCTAGAGATAAACACAATGCCAGAAACATCAGGGAAAAAGACTGAGCAATGAAGAATTCAAATTGAACTTATGACTCTGAAAGGCATTTTTAATCTGTTAGGTTCCAGTGTCCTGGCTTATATAAATGTAGGAATGTTATTCACCTCCTCTGAAAAAAAAAAAAAAAAGAGAAAGGCCCACAACAAAGCACCCTAGGGGGTTGTAATAAAAAGCCAAATACATTAAAAACAATAGGGATGGTAAAAAAAAAAAAAAAAAAAAGTTCTATTTTCAGGAAATTGATTCTAGAGAAGTATACATTTTTTTCTCCGGTTGATATTGCTTGAACCTTCTGACTGAAAATTTGCAGTGAGATATTATATGTTGGTAAAGGTAGGAAGTAATATTTTGTATACATTTGATCCTCACAATGGTTGTGTCTGTGTGTCTCTTGAGCCCCTGCTCAGCTCTTGCTGTGCAATTGAGTTACATAGCTCTTGCAGCAGCCATTGCCCAGGGCTGAACACCGTCCCAAAGCATGGCAATCCCAGTGCAGTGACAAAACAAGTGTGGAAGTAGTGAAAAGCTTGCCCTTCCCGAGGCTCTCTGTGACACAGTGGGTCATCTGCAGAAGGGAAAGGTTTTTTGATGAGCACACACAGTTCTCGCTGCCCTCTGACATTTATTTTTATGAATTTACTTCAGGTTATGGTCATTCTCTCTGGTTCACTGCACATTGTCTCCTCGCACAGACCTGTGTACACACTACAACTCCCTGCACAGTTTGACAAACCTTTTGTTCTCATTTCAATTATTAATTGCTGTATTTCTGTGTTGCAGATATTGATGAATGTGCTTCCGATTCTCACCAGTGTAATCCCACCCAGATCTGCATCAATACTGAGGGGGGATATACCTGTTCCTGCACTGAAGGCTACTGGCTGCTAGAAGGCCAGTGTTTAGGTAAAGACCTCTTGCCTTATGAGATTTGCATATCTGTGCTTGTATATCTGTACCTGTGAATGGTTGAACTAATTTCATTGAGTGTCTTTGTCAAACATGGAGTTAAGGCTATGGCTGTGCAGAAACTAATGTCTTTCATCTTTGCAAGTGCCAACAGTATGCTTGGCAGAGGGATTCCCTGATGGAACAAAATGTTGATGTAAGTGCCATATGACAGCAGCTATGTTACGCATGGGATTTTTATATTCCCTTTTGTAAGGGTCATGTAAGTGGATGTGTACAAAAAGACTTCTTCCCAAACAGACATGTCCTTTTCACACAGTTACAGTCCAGACCAGAAAGGATAACTATTCAGTACCAAGAAACAAGCTTATAAATCCATTCAGCCAATCTGCACCAATGAGTGCAGTTTCTGCAGCTTTCAAGCAGTTTTTGTTTTTTGTTTTTTGTTTTTTGTTTTTCTTGCAGCAATGTTCTTTTCATCCTTTTAGCTCAGCATTGCTGAAAAAACATCCTTTAACAAACAGCACAGGAAAGCTTTCCAGTCCCTGCAGACCTGCATGTTGTCTGACATGCCCATGGGATGATGAAGGAAATGCTCATGTTAGGTACATCTCTCCAAAGGAGATAGGACACAAAAGCTTTTTTAACATTTGTTCTATAACTTTTTCCCCTGGGCGTGGGCTGTTTGGCTGCCAGCTATCCAGAGCTGGACCATTCTGTCACAACACCTCAGCTGGAAGAAGAATGGGATTTCCCTGCCCATTCAGTCCTGGAGTTTCTCCAGATGTTTTCTGAATTTCTCCTCCCAAGTACAAGTTCTAGTGCAGGACTGTCATGCAGCTGCTTTTCTAACTCATGTGGCAGGCATGGGAGGCTGATGGGGACAGAGCTGATCCTCAGCTAAATGGGGGTCTGCATGGCTGCGGCTGCATCAGGGAATCAGTGTCATGTAATGAAGGGAAATGAAGTCCCCAAGCCTCCTGCTCCTTAATCTCTGGTAATTCCTGTTGGGGGAAAAAAAAAAAAAAAAAAAAAAAAAAAGTGGTAAATAATAGAATCAGAATGCATGCTAAATGCATTATTAAATAAATAAAACAGGCTGACTAGAATGTCAGAAAGGAGCCATTCTGCCAGGTTAGAGGAAACTACAACCAGCCCATATAGGGAGCATGCAAGTATTTTGTATGCAAGTATTCTCTTGCATACAAAAAGAAACTGGAGGTGAGGAACAGCCTGAATATGTGGATGCATAGAGCTAAGCTTGAGCTGGGGCTTGCACAGGTATTTGTGGTGAGGAAGGGGGCAGGGAGGGGGATTTTGCTCTATGTCATCTGTTGTGTTACCAATTTACTTCTTCAAGTTACAGCCCAAAGTTAAGGATTGTGTGCATCATTCAGGACTTGGACATGGATCTAAAGCACTTTTCTGCTTGATGGATATACCAGAGAGCTGAAGTGACTGCTTTGCTGAACTGATTTGAAAATCTGCTTATGCCATTTAAAATAAGCAATAATATTCTACTGTTGCCCACTTTATGTATTTCAAAGTAGTGCAAAAAGCTAGAAAAAGAGCTAGAAGCAAGTTTTGTTTAGAATCTTTTTTTTTTTTTACTTTCAAAAAGCCTGTTTTCCATACTTTCCATTGGGCTTGAAGAAGTGATTTTTGCTGTCATTAGGCAGTTAAAGACTGTTCATTTAATGCAATCAGAGGACTGGCTTGAGTTTTTAGAGACAGATTCTTAGGGAATACTCTTAGTATACCACACTTACGAAAAGGTACCCTTCTGTCTGTTGTAATAATCCCAGTAATGTTTACACAGCAAGAGTCAGTACAGTAGAGTCCACAAACACCACCCACAAGAATAAGCCCTGTAAAAGTTCTTCTCCCTAAAATTGCAATGCTCTTGAGTTAACAGTTCCACAAAATCCAGTGCTTGTATTTAAAGTAATCCAATCTGTCAGTGAAATGAGATATTAATTTACTTAAAACCAATGTTACTTTTTGCAGAGTTTAGGCCAAGCCTAGTGCTGTTGTACATGCCATAGCTGGCCTTTGGGTTACCCTGCTATTTGAAATGCGGTGGGAATTAAAGTTAGTAAGGGTAAAACCAAGTGTCAATGTCCTTGTTATTTTACACAGTGAGAGTATTTCCAAAGCTTTGATATTTTCAGCATGCCTTCACAAGACTTGGCAAAACTGTGCTATTGAAGCCAACAATGTAAAGCTGAATTACAGGATGTAGCTACTTATACATCAGATTCAAAATGTTGTTGTTTTTATAGTATTACCACATCATGTAAAAGTTCAAGTCATTCAAGAATTCATTTTCTCAAAACAGTCTTAATATATTGCACCAAAACAGGAAGCATTTAGCTAACAAATAATGAGCTGCTGGAATTCGTGTAGATGTAACTGTATGCATGAGAACCATAGGGAAAATGTCATTTTGATTTTCTTGTGCATTGGAATGCACGATGAGGGTCACTCCACCAAAACCTGTGCCTTTCCTTACAGAACTTTACTCACTAAACTTCATTTACAGCAGACTGGCTGCAGATTTTACACTTGGTTGGTCTTCCTAGCTTAGCATTTCATTGATGAAATGCTCTTATTTCCTACTCACATTAGCGTCTTAGGAATGGACATTCAAAACTGTGTCTTCTTGTGTGAGTCTTTCAGATGGCAGGATTGTCACTTTTCCAAATTATCCACAGCCTTTTACACAGTCACAGTTTTTCCATACACAGTTCTATTTTCAAATTGGGAAAAAATTAACGTGCTCTTTCAATAAAACAATCTCCCATGGTCATACGTACAGAAAGTATTTATAAAGAGAGGGTTTTCCAGTACCTGCTTTGTCCTCTGCTGTCATTACAGTGGCCCTAGAGATTAGCAATGATGGGTGTTGAATGAGAGGTAAGACTTGCTCTGATCTTATTTTAATCACCCATAAGAAGAATCCGAACAGGAATTCGACGTTTAGACCATCAAAGCTTTGCAAAGCTGCAAAGCTTTGAGAGCAACCACTAAAAAAATCTCCATAGATCAAAAGCCAATTGATACTAAAGGGAATGTAAAGCCTTGAAAGTGACAGCTACTATGGTTCCTAGGCCAGGAACAAAATTCTTCTAGCACTTCCATTGCACATAATTTACAGCATTTTCTTCTTTTTGCTTTTTCCTTAACAGTTGACTGTATGTATTTCTAATGCTTTATTTAAGCCCAAATTATTATTTCATTTTGGTAGCTAATTTATTGTTTACATTTTTGATCTTGTAATTTATCTCTTAAAGATTTACATAAAATGCAAATGTGACTATTGAAAAACAATTCTTCTGAGAACATCCTGTCTGGAATAAAAAAAGGAGTAAGAAAAACTTGCTTTTTTCATGAGTAGCTTTGGTATACATGGGAATAAAACATTCTTCTCCCTTGATTCTGACAAAGCTTTGCTGCAGGGCTGTGTTTGTGTTGATGGATGGTACCAGCTGTCAGGTTAGACTTCCAGGTAATGCCTGAAGGGGCTGACTCTGGGCCTTCTGATAACATAGCATTGAGCTCAACATTACAGCAATGGCAGTCGTTTCATAGAATCTGCTGTCAGCTGTAAGATATGAAGAAAAATGCAGCGCTGCATTCTTTTGAGCAAAAATACATTTTAACTGTAATTCAGCCTGAACACCTAAAAGTTTGGCTGTTAGATCTGTAACCACCACACCGTGTTACTTCTCTGTTGTTGGTGCCATTGATTCTGTGTGTTTGATGCTTTGTTTTTGCACGTGGAAACGCCAACCACTCTGTTTTTCCTCTTTCCCATTCATAGATATAGATGAGTGCCGTTATGGTTACTGCCAGCAGCTGTGTGCCAACGTGCCTGGTTCCTACTCCTGTACATGCAACCCAGGCTTTACACTTAACGATGATGGAAGATCGTGCCAAGGTACCGTGCATTCTTAACCATGATTGAAATCTTTGGTCCCAACCAAACAGCAACACTTAAAATGTGCTTAGTTCTTAGCATACAAGTAACTGTCCCAGCATTGCTTTGAAAATGCTGATAGGTTTCTCTGAGATACTTCTGTAGCTCCCTTGTGAACATTTGTTTGCCACCACAGCGCATAGGACAGGTACAGATGCAGCCTAAGCAGTATATCCGTAGAAATATACAAAAGGCCCAACCCCCCTAGATTTGTATTGAAATTACCAAGAACTGAGCACTGAAGCACTTCTACCTATGACAGGAAACCTCTGCCAGATAAGCAAATTAGATCAGAGTCACCCAAGCTTCAGATAAGGGTCCTGAGCATAAGAACAGCTTTTGCTGTGATGTGCTACCTGAATCACAGTCAACACAACCTCTCCATAAGATGATCCATGACAATGATAAAAGAACTTTCGAGAAATTGTTGATGTCCTAAACAAATAAAAAATGGTTTTCTCACAGCCAAAGTTCCCATAAGGATCATTCCTCACTGTGTTATTCCCGTAAGGTGTATCCTACTGCATTTTGTATCGGGTCGGTTATGGCAGAATCTTTTCCATGATTTTAATGTTACAAGATAAAGAGACGTGTTTATAATAAATATTTCACCCTATCTTTCATGTTATTTTTTTGAAGACATTGCCAAAATGTTTTAATTCCACGCGTGTTGTTTCCTACACATTATTTCTAACATCATCTGGTATCTCAGTAAATAAAACTGACTTTGTTATGTTTTTTCAGAACAAATTATTTTTACAATGCATGTAATCCATTTGAAATGCTTTACAGTAATGAATTGAAAATAGAGTTTGGAGAGAAGTTACTGATTCAGGGTACTGTCTTCCTGTAGATGTGAATGAATGTACGGGAGAAAATCCTTGTTCTCAGACTTGTGTCAATACCTATGGCTCTTTTCTCTGCCGCTGTGAACCTGGCTATGAACTGGAAGCTGACGGAGTTAACTGCAGTGGTAACTGTCTTCAGTTATTTATTGTTTTGGTTTCTTTAATTCTATTATGCTTTCTTTTTCCAGCGTACTGTTTTGTATTTGCTTTTGTAGAAGTCTTCTGCTTTGGTCTGTGATTAGCAGCAGGATAACTGCAACTAATGTGATCTTCCTTCCAGTTCCAGTACGCAGCAAATACCAAGAAAAGTGCAGTGGAGGAGGGCTGCAAAAGGTTTTAAAGAACTAAGCTAAATATTAAAAAGCTCCAAGATAACAGCAGAACGTAAGGAAATGGTTTCTGATGCTGAATGGGAATCTTACTAAAGCAAGTAAAGTAGGGGCAGTCCTAGAACATTTTTCCACAATTTAAGAAATACTCATTCATAAAGCACTTTTCCATTTGTCTGTTGAATGCACGTACTCTTTTTGCTCTTATGGTCTCACACTTCTGCCTAAACCTTCCCTATTTTCCCCTCCATGGCTCTGTCTGCGCTTCAAAAATAATGTGCCATTTTTCTTAGCAGTTATTGCTGATCTTTCAGCTCATAGCAGATGAAACTGCTTATGTTACTCTATTTTTTCCTCTCTTGTTTTTATTTTATTGCTTTATTTTAATTGAAGATGAAATGTATTTCTGTGCTTAATGTTCCCACAGCTTGATAAAATTAGAGAATCCAGCCAATATTTTTTGGAAGAAAAAACTCTGGAAAACACTTGTTTTTTAATTTACAGTAAACAGATGTAGCATGCTGTTTTTGAGAGAGAAGATGTGATATGCAATATGTGTGTAGATTAGAGTTCCCAAAGCCATTCTTTCATGCAAATCTCCTTATTCTGAGGGGAGGTACAAAGACCTAGACCTCTAAAGGGTCATATTATATATATATTTATATATTTTATATTTATATATATACATATACTGTATATATTATATATATTTAGAGCTGAAGCACCTAACTTAAGATTTCTGCTTTCTAGTGAATTTTTTTCTTCTAAGTTAGACTCCCTTGCCCGTGTCCATGCTCCTGAGCTATCTGGGGGTCTAAACCTAACCCTAACCTAGTGCCACAAAAACACTGCCAGTACAAAATAGCAGCAATAAGGGCTGTGCTTAAACTTCATTCATGGCTGAGAGTTAAGCCAGCAAAAAGGATTTTCCACCACACAGATTCAGAGCAGAAAACCTTCCTTTGACCCTTCTGTGCCAGAAAACACTTGTCACAAGCATGTCATATTCCTCTGGATGAGCCTTCTTCACCTCACAAGCAATTGCTAGACATCACTGAGGCTCAGTAAAGAAATGGTTCCAGTGAGTATAGTTGGCAGCACTGCAGAAGGGTTTAGAAATAGCAAAGGTATCTGCCCTGGGTCACTCATAAGCAGAAACATATGGCCCTTTACCTCCAGCATTTGACAGCAGCTGAGCACAGGTTCTATGAATATGATGGTGCTGGAAGGCTTGGCTAGGAGGCCTAGAGGGCTGGGCAATATCTCAGTCTCTTTATGGAGGTAGCCCGTGGTCCATGTTTTGTCAGGAAGGTGATTTTTTCAAAGAACTCACTGAAGCAGGTGACACAACAACAGAAGTGTGCAGGTGTAGCATTCCCTTCATCTCTTTTGATTATGTGGTTGTAGACATAAAGCTATTTTAGCATATTTGGACTTCAAACACTCTCCAGTACATCTGTACAAAACACCAGAAGTGGATAAATGGACTGAGTCCAATTGAAAAGAAAGGGAAATTCAGTCTGAGGAGTGAAAGTGATTTGCTTGGGAGAGTCAATGTTAGAGCTGGGAATTCGAACTTGGGAGTTCCTGGCTGGGACTCTGGCCTTTGTTTCTCTCTTCCCCTGCACAGAAAAAGAAGGAAATGATTAACAGCAGCCTCCCTCATTCTAGCGCCTTTGCATGTGTTTTCCTCTCAGTCAGCCATGCCTCTATTGCAGCTCTGAAGTTCATCTTTCTCATTTGAACACGGTTCCACAGCATATGATTTCTGGTCAGTTCATGAATAAAAGGGGAAAAGATATCATACACTACTTTTAATCAGAGATTGGACAGTCTGCTTAGTTTCCTTGGTATCTGGGAGATCACTGGGCCTTCCAGTAAGTTTGACCCAAGCTGGGATGAGCTGTGAAGTCTTGTTAGAATGCATTACAAGTAACTGGCTGGAGGCTAAGTAACATAAAACAGCCAGGGCTTGGTCTGGCTACAGGATTTCTACTGGGACCCATATGGCTCTGGGAAAGGGAAGTATGCTCTCCAAAAACAAAAAAAAAAGAAAAGAAAAAAGAAAAGAAAAAGAAAAAAAGAAAAAAAAAAAAAGAAGAAAAAAGGAAAAGAAAAATACCATCAAGTCTCTCCTTACAAATTACAGTTGCAGCTTTGTAGTTGGAGCACCTCTATCTTTGACGTAAAACAGAACTGAAAATATGGCCAACTGGTGACAGGTATTCAAAAAGAAAAATAAATAAGAGTCGTGCATCTTGTTGAGCAGCAGCTTTGGTTTAGTTTAGCCAAGATCTTGTTTAACAGCATTTTGCCAGGCTGCCTCAGAGCTCTAGGGAGTTGGAGGATGCCAACCTCCAGCTGGGATGATAGGCACGTCTGGATGGCCACCTGCTTGTGGGACTGTGCTTTTAACTGTGTAGCCAAAGATTCTAAACTTTGTTTTACCACTGCAGACATGGATGAATGCAGCTTCTCAGAGTTCCTCTGCCAGCACGAATGTGTGAATGGGCCTGGTTCTTACTACTGTGTCTGTCCTTCGGGCTATAACCTGCTTGATGATAGCAGAAGCTGCCAAGGTAAGAGCATTCCAGCAATGATTAAAACCCAGAGGGACTAGAAAATAAGTCCGGTGTCTGGAAAGAGGTTTTCAAGGACTCAGTTTCTTAGTCTTGGCATTGCATAGTGACATACTCATAGGGGCCAATTATGTGATTCTGGTGAGAATGTCATCACATGAACAGCCCCACTGAGGTCATTTGGTGTAATGGTCAAAGGAAGGCTTTACTGATTAAGAAACAGCTACACAGTAAAGCCCTCAGATGCTCTCCCCTCTGCTGTGTGTCTCTCTTTAGTTTTTACTTCATCTAAGGTCAGAGAACCTGAGCAGCAGTTTCTTTTTTACTTCTGCAGCATTTTGCATAGGGAAGCACTCCAACAGGTAGAAATGAGCGGGGTAAAAACTAATCTTAGAAGGGGGACCAGTTATCAAAAACTACTACTCATGGTGCAAGAGTGAATTTTTGGTCAATGCCTTACAATGGACATTGGACTGTAAGAGCTGTGTCTTAAGCATACGCCTTTATTTTAGCTTTTCTCTTGTTTTTTGTTTTTTTTTTGTGTGTGTGTTTTAGATATCAATGAATGTGAAATTAGGAACTTCACCTGCACTCTACAGCAAACGTGTTTCAATATCCCAGGAGAATATAAATGTTTAGATCCAGTAAGATGCGAGGAACCTTATATCCAGATTAATGAGAAGTGAGTAATACCCACAGCCACAAAAGCAAATTCTAACTGTGTAAAGCATATCTAGTGAACCAAATAAGCTGCTTTTTGCAACACAGCCATGAAGTGTGTCTGGAGAGTTTACTATTAGTAAGCTTTATACAAATAATAAATTGCAATTCCTTACCAGGTCACCAGGTGGGATATGATATGATACTCAGATGTGTGGGAAGTTAGACTGGAAAAACACTTATCAGTGAGTAGAGGAAACAGCAAGGTTTGTAATGTAATAAAGACACTTTAATTATGTTACTGACTTCATATATGCTTAAATGCTGTTTGTTAATGTGAGTATTTCCTGTAAATACTAACTAGCTCATGTCCAGGAAGTGCTTTAAAAACATTAGGTGCCCATTATAGCAGAACACATGTAGTTTTCCTACTGCTCAAAGATTAAATGTGTGGAAAAACAGCAGTCCATAGAGTGATTTGCACAGTCTGAAAATTGGAGTATTCTGAATGGGACAGTTAGCACTGGTAGGGTCTAAACTCAGAATCCTCTGAGCAAACGTATTTTGGGGGAGATGGTGGAACCTACATTTCTAAATAGTGCTCAATTCCTTTACATTTTTGTATATACTTGCCTGGAGCTTAGAATGTTTCAGCCCCAGCTAAATCTCTGTATAGTGCAAGTTATAGAATTTCATCCATGTTTGTGCTAGATCCAATTTCTTGAGATTACTTGGTAGCCTATGTATTTTATAGAAAAGCAAGAGATGGAGAATTCACTGCTTCCCATGATAATGCATTTGTGTCTTTACATTGCTTTCTGAAGTAGGGCAGCTGAGGAGTGCACAAGTTCTGTTCTGTCAGTTCTGGGGCTATGTACCTTCAGAAGTGGTAAAATCTTAAACTAGATCTTGAAATGTCTAAAGCCTTTGTATCTAAATTCTTCAGAGCCCAACTGTGGGGTTCTTACAAATCAGCTTGCACCAAAGTTCTTGATCCTCCAAGCTTTGTATTTGGTGGCTTTGGCTCATATCTAGATGTGACTGCATTTAATTTGTGGCATATGTCTAGAAGTGGTCAGTATAAAAGCCAAGCAAATTCATTGCGTCTGTGTTCTCTGTGGAAGGAATGGGGTGTTTATAATGCCAGGAACCTTTTTATGGAGAATTTGCCAGAGGAACTGTCTGAAGCTGGTGTCAATGATGGAGGTTATAAAAAAAAAATAGACAAAAAAGCCTTATTTTCCATCCAGAAAATTCCCCAACATGGCTTTTATAAAGGGATATCCTGCATGTTATTGGAAGTCTCTGAAGAAATTAGCAGCTTGTGGCTAAGGGACATGGGTTGATGTGGTCTGCTTGGGTTTCCAAAGGTTTCTGAAAAGAACCCTACACTTCATGCTTCTATGGAAATTAAGCAGCCATAAGTAACAAATCCCTGGCACAGATGAATAAGAGGTTGAAAGATAAGAGGAGAATTGCAGAAGGAGACTCAATGATTGTGCTAAATTCAAATTCAGTGCAGATGAATGTAAAAGTATAAAAAAAAACCAGTTTCACAAGTGAAATAAAATAAATAGCAATGGTCTGATCATAATCCCTCCCAAGTGAAGTTTGAAGATTGTTACAGATGGTATCATGAGTAGTAGAGGTCAGAAGAACAATCTGAAATTGAAGTGCAGAATATCCTTACAGCATGTGCAACTGTGTGCCTATATCTTCAAGATTATCACCAGTTTCATCACCTCCTCACATGGGCAGTGTGATGATTGGACAAAGATTCATGAAGGGTGACAAGGAGCATTAAAAGTAGGGATCTTCCTTGTGAGAAGCATCAAGGTTAGGATTCTCCAGCCATGAAGAAAGTAAAATATGAAGCCATGAGCTGCACATGGAGGATGAGCAGGGATTGAATCTGCTCTTGAGAGCTGAGAGGATCAAAGTCAATAAGGAGCAGTGCAGAGAGGGAGGTGGGTATGGAGGGAGGGGCTGTGGAGCTATTGGCCACAAGGTGTCATGGATGCGTAAGGAGAAATTGAACATGCCAATGGGTAAGAAATACATTGCAGGAAGGCAAATATACAGAAGACATCTTTGTTTCAAGAGTTTCCTGAGGTTTCAGATGATTGGAGGCTCTTGGTAGGGATGTCATATGCTTAGCTTGCTATTCTGCTCTTCTTCAGAGCTTTGTGATTGATCTGTGAGCTTTGGTTTCAATCTAGGAAATCTCACTGTTTGTTTTTGTTAAATACTAATATAGTATTTATGTCACGCTGTTACTGAAATTATCCAATAATTACTAGTTTAAATTACTATCAGAACAAACAAACACAAGGCATTCTACACCTACAGAGCTTCCTTAAAGAAAGTATTGATCTCTAAGTGATCTAACGACATAGGTAATGCCAAGATATTTTGCAAAACCTGGAGGACAAGAAAAAGAAAGCAGGGGTGAAGGCAAGCTGGAGTAGCAGTGCAGAGAACACTATCAGAGAAAAAATTCATTACAAGTGGAATTGATTATTTTAGCTGGTTGGCAACTTGATTCATTGGTTGACCGACTGATTATTTGCAGCTGTATTAGTATGTTAAGAATGAAGTGTTACAGGGATTTGTAGCCATTGATGACAATCCTATCTCTCTGCTAGCCGCTGTATGTGTCCAGCTGAAAACCCTGGCTGCAGAGATCAACCATTCACCATCCTGTACAGAGTCATGGATGTTCTGTCTGGGCGCTCAGTGCCTTCTGACATCTTTCAGATGCAAGCAACAACTCGCTACCCTGGAGCCTATTACATCTTCCAAATCAAATCAGGGAATGAGGGCAGGGAATTCTACATGCGGGTAAGTCTGGCACTGGCTGGGAAAACACCTGGAGTATCTTCTTAGTAACTGCATTTCTTCCTGACAGCAGAACTCTGCTTTTATTGAGTGCTATTTAAACCTTCAGTATGAGATATTTTTACACTCAGACTTGCAGAGCAACAAACAGGTTTGTGGGAGCTGCAGTTGCTTTTTGGTTTTTTGTTTGTTTGTTTCTGTTTGCTTGTTTGTTTGCTTTTCCAGGAAGGTAACTTACTCAAAGCAAATGTTCTCATTTTATGAGGCATCAGATTCACAAAAGTCCATGGTTGTACCCCTATCAAAGAGCAGCTGTTTCCTGTGTTCAGGATGAAGTGTTGTGCCAAAACTTCTTAAAATTTTGTAGACTACTGGTACTTGTCAGTTAGAGAGTCAACACTGTTCACTTGTTTTTTCATACTCTCCCTTGGTAATGAAAAAAAATAAATAAATCTGAAAACTAAAAAGAAAGTCTTTATCCTAAGAACTGACTTTCTAAGTTCTTTCTTTTCATTTATGTGCTTGTTTGCTGGTGGAGGTTTTTTGTGTTGTGTAGTGTTTATGTTTGTTTTCACTGAAAAAACACAGTGTCAGTATGCATTGTTGGGGAAAACAGAAATGCTTATTTTAATTCAAATTTTCCTCAGAAGTCATCCTTGTTTTCCTGTCATCTTCACCACCTCTAACACGGGGCAATGGGAATCACCTGCACAGGGTGAGGCACAACCACCAAAGATGGTCATGTTCAGTGTGTTTATTTTTAACCCCAGTCAAAACCTGGCTTTGATATTCACATTAAGTGATGTTCAGCAGCTACTGATGGCTCCTGTGCCTCACAGAAAATGATATCATGACAGATTTCAATAGATCCTCAAAAACAAGTTCTTCTTGACAGCCTTGGTGTTAAATAGCATCCAAAAAAAGAAAATTTTCCAAAATTCTGACATGACAACTGGTCCAGGAGTGATCATGGACATCCCACGACCTCTTTCCTGTTGTAGAGGCATTACTGATCCCACTGACCATTTCCTCTAGCCTGGGTCAAACTGGCAGTTGCTAAGGCTGCATCGATGAGCACCACTGCTCAAGTCTGCTTTCCCCCTGTATTCATTTATCGCATAACCATCCATTTGTCACCTAAAGTACTCTGCTTGCACAAGCTGCCCTTTTCCTTCCCTGGCAGCACATTCCCATGCGGGTGTGTAGCCAGCAGGTGGTGCCTGTCCCTTGCTCTGCGCCCAGCAGGAGCGGGCAGAGCTGAGGGCACGGGATGCGCAGTGCTTAGGATGCTGCTGGCTCACCAGGCAGCTGCTCCTCTCCACTTATTGGGCCTCTCTTATCAGAGGTAATGTAAACGCTCCTTTTCATAGCAAAACAGGTCACACTTTATGTACATCAGCTATTGCTGGGAAACAAACTGCATTTAGTTTTAACCTCAGAAACTGGTTTTTAAATACTCATAATCTGCTGTTCCGGACAGACATTTCAAAGCTCTGCTTCCACTTACTAAAAGACAAATGTTCTAACGTGCCTTCACATATTTAAAGCTCTCTTCAGAGGGTGAGGTTTTGCAATGTTAACATGCAATTATACAGCAAGCCCTGGTTCCACTCACGTAGGAACATCTGTTCTCGAAGCTCCAGTAACATAACCCCTTCCTGGAGTTTGCTGCTTCAAAGTAATAGTGGTTTTTACATCAAACTAAATAATATATGACTCCCTCAAGAAACAAATGACATTTTTTGTGCGTGCTCTAAATCCACTTTTTCATCTTTTTCCATTCAGATGATAGCAAATTTCTTTGCACGATAGCTTCCTTTATGTGCAGGGCTCTCAAAGGCTTTAAAAAAAGCGTAGAAGGCAATGGTTCACACAAATGAATGAGATCAAGCCAAACACTGAATGAACTGAAAGCCCATGCACATCACGTGGTCTCACCTGAGATGACAGTTTTCAAAACTGTTTCTGAAAATCTCACCTGCTTCCTCTTGTTCTGTGCACAGCAAACAGGACCGATCAGTGCTACGCTGGTGATGACCCGTCCTGTGAAAGGGCCCCGCACTGTTCAGTTGGACTTGGAAATGATCACTGTCAACACCGTCATCAACTTCAGAGGAAGCTCCGTCATCCGGCTGAGGATATTTGTATCACAGTACTCATTCTAAACCTTGCGTTGGTGCCCTGTAAACATTAAAACCAAAGACACGGTTCCTCTTCTGCAGAACTCTCTCCTCAGAAGCCATTACGTATAGCAGCTCAAAACCAAGTCAGTATTTCCACAGACCCGGTGACCTATGCCTGTCTGAGGAGGGAGGCCTCTTCATGCACACCCCTACCAGGATGCAGACCTCTGAAGGTGTATCGGCAGCAGATCCCGTATGATTCTCTTGTGGTCATATATTTTAAGGACTCTTTTTTTCCACTGTAAACATTTCTAGGGTATGAGTCTACGTTTCAAAGACTGTGAACCTTTGTAGCTCCAAGGCTGCTTAGCAAAAAGCACCAAAGAAACTGCAGAAAAAGCTGGCTTTTGCAATCTTGCATATTTTTTTTCATTATAAATGGAAAGCTGACAAACAAGTGAAAAAAAAAAAGCCACCTATTGAAACAAGGGATCTCAGAAGTGCTATTTTACATTTACAATTAACTTTGAAATTATCAGTCAAGCACTTTGTTTCAATTCACTCTGCATTTGTCTTACTTTCACCTGCTTTTCTTTGATTCTATTTTGTACTTAAAATTCATTGTAAATTCATTCCAAAACACTTGTTGTACTATGTAATCTACTTTCTAACAACATGTCACATCTTTGGGTTCCTTCCTGTATTAAATCGTTCTGTATAAGAGAGCTCATAGAAATCCATCACTGGATGGCATGTTTTATACTGATTAGAGCATTATGCTTAGTTACAGCCAGGCTCTTTGACACAGGTCTCCACTGCCAGAATTGTGTCCAGGGACTTAAGAGCAGGTGAGAATCAGAACTTTTCACTGTTTTTCAGTGTAATAGTTGCAAACAGTTTGTAATGGTTGTAAGGTAGCAATACTAACTTTGCAGCTAAGGCTGCAACTAACCTCTTGTTCAACAACCACTCAGTTCAGATATGTCCAAATTCCTTCAGGAAAAGAAATAATAACTATTCTGTTTGCACAGAATCTTCTCTCCTACATTCCTAAAATTAGGGAAAACAAGCCGAAAAGGAGTTGGAATAGTTATGTCATTCATGCCTCTGACACAAAGCAGTCCCACCTATGCCAGTACCCAGACCTCAAATGTCAGGATCCCACAGTTTCCATAGGTAATGTCTTCTCAGGTATAACTGCTGTAATCAATAGAAAGTTTTTCCTAAAGTCTAATCTGAGTCTCCCCTGTTGTAATGTAAGTCTATTGCTTTTTAGCATACTTCCAGTAGAAATAGAGAACAGTTTATCTTCCCCTTTGCAACAGTCTTTAACATGTCTGCAGACTGTTGTCACGTCTCCCCTCAGACTGTTCCTCTCTAGTCTAAACAAACCCAATTCTTTTGGTCTTTCCTCATACATCACATTTTCTGGACCTTTGATCATTCCTGTTGCTCTCATCTGGATTCTCTCCAGTTGGTTCACATCTTTCTCAAAGTGCATTGCCCAAAACTGTGAAAAGTATTCCAGCTGAGGCCTCACAGTGCTAGACTAAATATACATATATATATTTAGGTGTTTGAAAATAAAATTAATTGTATAGTTTGGAGGTATTATCCTCATGTTGTTAAAGACACTGGCAGTTCGGTGTTTTATTTACTAAGGATAAGGCTTCATATGCTTTGTTCTACATTTCTCTGAAGCAAGTACTTGCTATTTCCCCTTTTTGCCTTATTGCCTTATTTGCTCTTGAGCATTGCTAGCACAAAACATAACCTTTGCTGAGTCTTTTTGAGGATTGGAATTGTTTAATGCTACTTGGGAAAGGAGTTTATGAGGATTATAGGACGAATAGACTGGAGCAGAGTAGAAGGTCTTCATTCTTATATGGAGGGCTTCATTAAAGTCAAGTATTAAATGAGAGAACACAGACTCAGAAAAGTTATCACAGCTCAGGCTGCATCACACTTTTGCGTCAGCTGATTCTTGCTCTCAATAAGCTCTACAAGTTAGTCTGGGGTTGTTTTTTCTCTAGGTGTAGAAGTGACTGCTCTTTTTACTGGTACTTTGTTTGAGAAAGTCCTGATGCAGTGGCCTACAACAGCTAAATGCTGAGTTGAGGGTGCTTTAGCAGCTTCCACTTCTTAATAAAGTTTTCTCGTTGATGCTGCAACACACTAGGTTCCCATGGCTCAGAGCTCTGCATGCAGGCTGTCTTTTACTATAAAAACAGACCAGCTTGAGATTGACTCCAGGCTTTAGGGGGCTAAGCAGAGGGCAGGAAGCCAATGAGTTTTGTGAGTAGCCAACTGAAGGGTACAAATATAGAGGAAACCCGCAGGGACACAGAAATATCAGGAACATGCTTTCTGAGTGTAGTGAGGCTCACCGGATGCCAGCTTTGAAGGGGAAAATAGAAATGATCAAGGAGGAATGCTAGTTTATAACCATCGCTTAGTTTATAACTCATGGGTCCCAGGTTATGGAAGGCAGACATAGGAAAGGAAGCTCTGGTAGCCCAAGACACAGATATGGGGCAGGCAGTATCTTAAATGAAACTCAGTGTGTTGAGTTTTTCCAGAACATAAAAGTCCTTCTTCGCCCTCTTAGTGCCTCCATGTTATCACTTCTTCATGCCCAGTGGAGTCCTTTCTCCTCCTGCTGTCAAATCACCTCCTGGAGAGGAAGTACACTCTGTTAGATATCAGACAGTTCCTCACTTTTGGGCTGTTCTCCCATGGTCTCCGCATACCAACCTGATTTAACCCTAATTAAGAAATATTAAAAAAATAACAGAGGAATTCCATTACTAACCAGTTTGTTAAAAGGGTAAGGCTCGAACGCCTGGTTTTAGCAACAAATATTCATAAAACAATATTACACTTTCTATGTAAACATTTTGTGCCTTAAAAAAAAAGCGTAAAGTCTGGAAACAAAGGAATTCAGCCACTTCTCAATCGCCATAACATCTTTCATCACTCACTATCACTCCAGCCAACTTTAACTTTGCCAAAATATATGCCAATCTCAAAATAATAACTTACTCGCAGTTTGTAACATCTAAACTCTCCATTTCCTATTCAAAGGTCTGTTTCCAATAGATTGTTACAGGCTTGTGTATTACAGCAATTCATGCCAAATAAAAAAAAATTAAAAAAAAAAAAAAAGGAATACGCACGTCAGGGTTTTACAGGATCCAGTGTAGAGCTGGATGATCCTACCTGATTAGATCCTACCTGACGTATTTGTCTGTGAAATATTTTTACGGAACTGGATTTTTTTTTAACACAGACAACAAAATGTTACTTCACTTAAGAATTTGCTGGATCCCACAGAACCGCTTTTCAGCTTGTGCTTCTCTGACTGCAATAGCTTTGGTGGAAATAGCTGAGCTATGAACGGCTGCACATCCATCATCACCAAGGTAGCATCCTTACTGTTCATACAGAACCAAGAACTTTCTCCTTTTCAAGTGGGGAGCCTGTGCCCCTATTTTCTTTATCTTGTCTCATCCCTTACAAGAGACAGCTTTCATTGTCTCAGAAACGTGGCTTTACATTACCACAACACATGCATTCATTTCTCTCTATCTAGAACAAGCAGAATCAATACATTTTGTGGTCACTCAAGTGATCCAGTCTGGCTCATTCTCAGAGCTTGCTACTGGATCTTTTCTGTAGCTGTGTTAGAACCTAATGAAAATTTCATAGTGCAAAGGTGTTTCAAAAATAAAAAAGAAATATGCCCTAACATTATTTAAGCCTGAAAGGCACCATTGTTGAAATAAATCTGGATGGAAAAACCCTCAGCTGGTGTTAATTTGCATGACTGCTGCTCTTCAATGGAAAGATAATAAGGATACCAAGGATCTTCCCTGTGTGTGTATAAAGCACTGTGATGTATTTGTATGCAAAGGACAATTTATGAGAACTAAAACTAATAGTAATGTGGCTTTGCATTTGCAAGCTAAAGAGTTATAAAATGACACAATACAAGCAAATTGTGTATCCTCCTGTGACACGAGCATTTACAAGTGACTTAAACTCATCACATTCTGTTGCTTTATATCTTCGAAACATTTCTGACTAGCTCAACCCAAAAGCATGTGCCATGCATGAAAACTGAAGCTGATAGCTATAATGAGACTTTCTTTAGAAAGTCTGCCCAGACAGGCAACCTGTGCTCCAAAGTCTGTGTAATAGAGAGTGTAATGGCCCAGAGGTATTTGTGTGGGGCTGTCTCAGATCCTGCAGATGTCCTTTTCCTCACCTGTCTCATTGCAGGGTGCACATGATGTTTCTAAGTGTACATATCAGAGATGGAAACCTCACGAACTGCAGATTTTATTTGTTCAGACCTCTGAGATCCCTGTAGTGGTTTCCATTGGCCAAACTGATCCCTGTGTAACTCAAGTAATACCCATGAAATCACACGAGGCAGATACGCTTTTACACTGGTAAGCAAATAATGATGCTGAGTAGCAAAGGAATCCTTAGAAAACACTTCAGCAACCAAAATCTCCACAAATATTCAATCTCTTTCAACTCCCTACCAGTTCTCCACTCTCCTTTGTGTATTTGTCCTGGACAAGTGATCTCATTATGGTCATGCACTGCAAATGCATGCTGAGGGAGCTCCACATTTTCTGTAGCATTACCCAACATTTTTCATTCTGCTTTTTGGATATGAGTTGTAGGCTTTGTGTCTCTTTTATGTTCTAACTGACCTCTGTTACTTTTCTCACAGCTAAGACAGACTCTTTATTTCCCTGCCAGGTTGTTCTGCTCCCCAGTATAAGAGCAAGTTCTTCATGCTTTGCCGGAAATGCAGCTGGCCCACTTGCTGCTTTTGCACCCTTCTCTCCACAATGTAATTAGGCACCCTTACAGCAAAGTGGATAGTTGAAAGAATTGCCCAGCCTGCTGTCTGTCAGAACCTCGTTTAACAAAAAGGCTTTGAGAAAAAAATAGCCACTCCACAATTTTGAAGGTATCAGAAGCTCTCTTAAGTTCTGATGAGTCACATTTCCTGAAATTGGGTCTGTATCATACAGTCTTGAGAGTCACAAATCTTTTTAAGAAGTCCTGTAAGGACATGCTTGTAGGATACATCTTTAGACTCTTCACTCTTCAGATGAGGTTTTCTCAGTTTCCAAACACTAATTGTCCCAGACAGAGAGAGTGCAATGTGATCGTGACTGTGCTGAAGTCAGTGATTGCTACCCTAACATCAGGTCTGGATTTAGCCCAGTTTTATTTTAAGTAAGTCTTGAATCTCAGTGTCAGTGGTATATATGTAAACAGATATGTATTATTTTGACAGTAGACTTGAAAGATTGTTTCCAGTAAATAAACAGTAGTATGACTGCACTCTCTTTCTCTGTGGGAAATATCTTTTGGTACTTCAGTATTTTCCAAGACAGCCCTTGGCACTTCAGGATTTTCTCTGGTATTTCAGGCCATTCACTGATGTCTTTCCATGAATGATTTCTTGCCCCTGGTGTTCAAAGGCCAACTCAGGCACTTAATACATTTTTGAACTATCAAACTCCATTAAAACCTTTACAGAGTCACAGCTCACACCTTCTTTATGGAAATTGTTCCTACCGTTATCTCTGTAATCCGTGAGGGATCATGCTGACTTCCTCGAGACTCTGTATGCACATGTGTTTTTCAAGACTGAAACATTGGTCTGGAGATTGTTCATCATCAAACTGCCACAAATGTTCTGCATTTGACATGTGAAACCATGGCTACAAAGGTTAGTTTTGACAAAATCCTCAAAACACATGGTGGTGGGTGTTTTTCCTGTCTACCTATGTATAATACAAACACAGTTCAAAAGTCCAGCACTAGAGTTCTCCAGTATGCAGCAGAAATCATTGTTCCTAATAATTATTTCAGCCAGGGAACTCATTTTGTAGATAATGAGCAAACAGGGCGGTAGAAGGCCTGCCAAGATTACACTGATTTGTTATTTGAATCAGTATCCCCAAGAAAACTTGAATCTAGTTCATCGTTTAAAAACATTTCTTTGTACTTTGACATCTCATGTCACTCAGGTAGGGAAACGGGGACAGAAACACTGTCTCCTTCCTAAAGAAAGGCAGCTGCTCTACAGAGATCCATGGATGCTGCAGCAACCAGAATACTTGCTAGCTCTAGTCCACACCCAGGTCAGTAAATGAGGCAAAAAATTCATAGAGACTGGTTCTCAGAATCACAGTGTTCCATCACCCTCAGCTGGAGGAGAGAGATCTTCATTGACTTTTTAATGATGCCAAACAGAGATTTACTAATTATGATGTAGCAGAAATGCTGAGTCATGGCTTGAACCAGTGATTGAGCACCTGGTGGAAAGGCAGGGCCAACCCAGGGGAGCTCAGGTGCATGCAATGCAGCTCAGTGACCAGAAGAGGTGGATCCTGGTTCCACCCCTTCCCAGACCTCATTTAAGGGTTGGAGGTGGAAGCAAGGCTATTTCATTTAGAGATCTCTGCTTACCTGAGCTCTTCTGAAGATAGGCAGCTTCTTTCCTTTATTTCTGTGCCCATAGCTCCTGTGTTTGAGCAAATCCTCACTTGCTGCAGCCTGAGGCCTTGCTGTTCTACTGTCATTGCTGCACTTTCCATCACATTGCAAATGTATGTATGATTTCTTGTGTTTATACGTGTATGGAAATCTTTAAATGATATTCCCAAGCTCTTGCCTACACCATGCACTCTACTTGCAGTAGGTTCTACTGTATCCTCCTGCTGTTCCTCAGGGTTGGGCTCCCTTGAAAATGCCCACTCTTAGACCGTGTGTTATAATAGCACTCACTCCCATCGATTTTTTTTTTTTAAATAAGAGAATTACTGAGGGATAAAATTGTAACTCAACTAGAAAGCCTATAAAAAAGAGCTTCAATTTTAATCATTCTTCACTGTTTTGATCATGATGTCATTGCTGTGGACAAAAATAAGTCAAACTCAAAATACTGAGAAGGAGATACTCGTTAGACAGAGAAGGGCTGAATTAGTCTATAAACAGTTCTAGAATGAAGAAGTTTGTGAAAGGAAGTGACTATGTGAAGTTTGAAAAAGGAAGGGTTAACTACTTGAAATCTGGAATCCTTGTCTTCTACCATTCTAGCAGTATTAAGTATAGATTAGCCTACTACTGTACAGACTAAATGACAGGCTGATGGATGGGCTAAGGAAGCAGTAGTCATGGCCAGAACACAATTAATTTGTAAAATGTTAATTTTCTTTCAAATATTTAATGTTGTAATCTTGCCCATACCTGGAGGTACGTACATGTTTTTTAGCCTTCATTTCCCTTTAGGCTTATTCATGATAAGGCTCAATTAGATTTTGCTTTAAGTCTACGTTATATGTACATGGAGCTTGATGTATTCTAGACACTTCCTTCTCTTGGATCTGCACATTGGAGCAAGGGGGCTCCCTTGCCAGGCTCCCCAGGCACTAGCCAGCCATGCCTCATCTAGCACATGTTTGGATGGCATGTCGAGGCTGTGTGCTGCAGCCCTGGAGGTGTTTCTGGAGGATTTCAGGAGATGAGCTCTCCTCCCAGCCCAACAAAATGCCAACCTCTCTTCCTGGTTGCCCTGGGTTCTGGAGGCACAACCTAGTTGAGTGAAGGCAAGGATCTGCCTTTGGGCAGAATTTGACTGAGCTCTGCAGAATAAGCTGGTCTCCTTAACAAGCAGCATTAATATAAGGTAATTTGGACTGCGCTAGTTTCCTTATTCATACATAAATTATTAACAAGTAGCTAATTCTCATTCCCACCTGCAATACATAGCTTGTGATTTTAGTACAAGAATTTTTTTCCACCCACACAATACTCAATGATCCATGCATAATGGACATTTGATGTTTGTTGGTTGGTATTTCAATCAAATGTTCTTTTTCATCGAATTGCAAGGGCAGCCTGAACCAGGTTTGCTAGGTGGGAAGTGAAGGAATTTACGTCACACAGTTGATCTCTCTCATTCCCATCACACAGCTGACTGCAGTGATGAGGTAGGTAACATAACATTTGCAGAGCCTGGGATGATTTACAAGCCACTCAGAAAGCTGATAAAGATCTGTTTAGCTATTTTGAACTCAAATGAACAGCTGAGGCTCATTTACAGTAACACAAGAACACTTCAGTTCCCTCCA